GCGACTCGACAGCTGCTGCTAGTCTCAAGGCTCCTCTTTCCCCGAGACCCTCAGCTGCGGGGAAAAGTTCTATTGACGTGACGCGATGTTCGCCTGGGGTGAACCGCAATCAATACCACGCCATTTTCATATCGGGAAGCAGATTCAGCAATAAGGTTTGAGATCGCGAGAAGTAACCGGAAACTAACCCTGTGTTAAAGTGCCAGTCTTATCGAAGGCGACGAGCTCGAGCTTGGCTAAGCTCTCAATAACAGAGGGCGACTTGATCACAGTACCAAAATAATGCCGAAGTCCTACCAGGGCAGACTATAGACCGCGATGAACCATGAGCAAGGATCTCACCGGTTACGATTGCCGTCATGTATGCAACAGGAGCAGCCATGACTATACTGCATGGGCATGCAGCAACAAGGACAATGACGCCACGCTCTAGTGACCAGCAGTAGACTCCCGTTATGAATGAGAGCAAGACCACTAATGGTGTATAATACCTACGACACACCCCAAGTGAAGAAAGGGAGAAGCAGCAAGGACCTATTCTCTATTTTTCCGAAGGAGGCCCACTTTGCAAAAGTCTCGACTGAGTCCTGGAGAGGAGTGCGCTGACCAGCAGCTTCCTGTATCAGATCGGTAACCTTCTGGGTACGCCCAACTCTGCCGCTGACCTACAGACATTGATTCCTGTTGAGAACGATGTATGCTGATAATCGTCGGTCTATTTCACGCACTTTAATCGTTTGCTGTATAGCCACTCACCTCCACACTAGGCAGAGCTCCCTGAACGATCAGTGTGCCACTAAAAACTTTGGAGCCCGTAGTCTTGTAGACAGGAATGGACTCTCCTACATGAAAAAAGCCTCTGCCGTTTTCCAAAACGACCAACATGACCAACCTGTGAGTCGACTCTCATCGACACTGGCAGTGCCCTCGACCACTACTCCATCTACAGGAATTGAGTCACCAGTGCGGAGTAAGATGCGATCGCCAACCTAAGGGAGCCACACTAGGGGCAACTGCTCGTGAGGAATATGGTGCTCACCTGTAATGCACCCACTTCGACCATTTTCCTCGATCCGGCCAAGACAGCCACGGAGCCTTCCGCTGAAGCTGAAGCCTCCGCAAGGGACTTCGTAACAACAAGACTCATGCATGTCTGAAGATCGACCAGTGAAAAATATACCAATTCCGAGCTGCGGCGTTACTGACCTGGATCAAGCCGGAGCCGTTGACTATAGCACCGACCAAGACTGCCTCCGTCCATTGCATATTGATAGCTGCTCCTACAGCAGCTAGCAGCATGAGGACCTGACAATCATCGATTCTTCCGAGTGCGTGAAAGATACGCTACGACTCACCGACACATCAGTGAACTTCTTCATCAGCAGAGCTCGCCCAGCACCCAGGAAAAGCGAAAAGGAAAGCAGAAGCCAATAACAAGAGGAATCGCAGCACCTTGCGAT